AAATCTGTGGACTTCCATGGTCTGAGAGACTATTTCCTTCCCCAGATTGGGGAAGTTTTCAGCAGTTATTTCTTCAAAGATACTTTCTATCTCTTTTTTCTCTCTCTTATTCTGGTATTCCTATAATGCAAATATTATTCCATTTGGATTGGTCACACAGTTCTCTTAATATTCTTTCATTTCTAGGAATCCTTTAATCTCTCTCTGCCTCAGTTTCTCTGTATTCCTGTTCTCTGATTTCTATTCCATGATCAGTCTCTTGCACCTCATCCAGTCTGTTCTTAAATCCTTCCATTGTTTGATTCAGTTTTGTATCTTCCTCTGGAATTCATCCCTTAGCTCTTGCATATTTCTCTGTAGCTCCATCAGCATGTTTATGACTTTTATTATGAATTCTTTTTCAGGAAGATCAGTGATTTTGGTCTCACCAGGCCCTCTCTCTGGTGTTTGAGGTATTTCGGACTGAAGAAGGTTCTTGCTGCCTTTTCATGGTGATGGAAGTGATCGCCAGCAAGTGGTGCATGTGTCAGCTGAGAGAACAAAGTCCCTACCTGCTTGCTGGTCACCTTGCCCATCTCTGCTGCCTGTGCCAGTCAACCATACACAGGGAGCAGCCTCTGGGTTAATCCCCTGAGCTGCCATGCACGGGGTGGGCCTCAGGATGGCCTAGGGCACTGGCAGTGTTTGCAAGCGAATAGTTCGTGTTCACCATGAGAACAGAGCCCCTATGTGCTTCCTGGACTCCGCGCCAGTTTCCTCTGCCTGTGCCAGTCAGCTGCGTGCAGGGGGCAGCCTCTGGGTTAATTCTCTGAGCTGTCATGGGCAGGGTAGCCCTTGGGATGGCCTAGGGCACTGGCAGTGGTATCAGGTGATCAGCGCTTGTTTGCCACGAGAACAGAGCCCCTACGTGCTTTCCAGACTCTGGCCCAGCTTCCTCTGCCTGTGCTGGTTGGCTGCACACAGACCGCAAGCTCCGAGTTAATCCCTTTAGCTGCCATGGGCCGGGCGGCCCTTGGGATGGCCTAGGGCACTGGCAGGGGTTGCAGGCAAGCAGCGCATATTCGCTGCGAGAATAAAGCCCCTTTGTGCTTTCCAGACTCTGCACCAGTCTCTGCTGTCTGTGTCAGTCGACTGGGGGCAGGTGGCAGCCTCTGGGTCTGGCCTGGTTAGCCGCGTGCTCATAGAAACTCTGTGTGGTTGCTGTGGGCGGGGCTGCTCCCCGGTTGTTCCGCAGCAGTGGCAGGTCAGCTGGTTCGCTTGCTGTGTCAGCAGCGGGAAATGAACAGCAGGTTTCTTATCACTGTGAAGGGCTTTGGTGCTGCATTGCCACCCAGGGGGTTAGGGCGCCTGAAGTTCCTTAAAGTTTCCAACCTGCTGGGTTGAGTGTGCTGGAATGATTTTGTCCACCCGTTAAACCCTTGTCCCTTTCAGACTTTTAAAGCACCTGCTTTTCTTTTGTCCCAGAGCACCCAGCTGTGGGAACCTGTTCAAAGTCTTAGTGTCGGATTTTGCTTTTCCGTTTCTCTAATATCCAGCACACCATGAAGTGTGTGTCTGTTTTCTCCATGCAGATTACTGGGGCTGGTTATTTAGAAGTCCTGTGCTTCCACTCCCCGCCAGTCTGATTCTTTTCTGTCTGCCAGTTGAGCTAGGGTAGGGGAGTGCTCAGGTCCCACCAGGTCAAGGCTTTGTATCTTACCCTTTTCATGAGATGGTGAGTTCTCACAGGTGTAGGTGTATCCCGGCTGTTGTACTGTATCTTCTGGTCTCTCTTTTAGGAATAGTTGTATTTGCTCTATTTTCAAAATGTATATAGTTTTGGGAGGAGCCTTTCACCACCCTACTCATGCCACCATCTTGAGAATCTCCCCCATTCATAATATTTTTAAAATAATGTGCTTTAATATCCTGCATGAGCAGCCCTACTTCGTTGTTATACTCTTTCAAAATTTCCTACCTCTTCATGCAAGTTTGTCTTTCCAGAAATGTACTTTGGAATCTATTTAAAAAATAAAAGTATTTTTATTGAGATGACACTTAATTTATGAGATTAACAGAATTGACAATTTAATGATGATTCTTCTACATAAGAATATAAGCCTTTCCATTTGTTCAGATTTTAGTAGCATTCCTCAGAAACATTAAATGTTTCTGTGTAGTAGCTCTTCCCCAGTTCTTACATCTATTCCCAGAATTGTATCTTTTTAGGTGGCTTTGTAGAGAAAACTTTTCTTCAGTTATAATAAGTTCTACAGAGTGATTTGCACGTATATTAGAAAGTTGCTGATTTCTGTGTATCAGTTTTTGTTCTCTTAACCTGAAAAATTTATCAATTACTTTATATAAACAGCAAAATGGGTTTATTCTGGAACAGCAGAGAATTGCCATTCAGGACAGATAAGCTATGGCAAAACCACAAGCGAGTCCAGAGAGCAAAGGAGAGGAGGCTCTTTCATAGAAGAGGAGAGTTGGGGGTACTCTTCTAAGCAATACATCCTTTGGAGGAAATTGGGAGTCCCACATGTCGTGGCTGCTTACTGGCTGAGCTGTAACAGTTCTTCACTGGCTGGGCTGTCACTGGGGGTGTGGGGAAACGCAGCAACTCTTACTTCCTCCTACTGGGTGGTAAAGCAGCTAAAGTAGGATGAGTTGTAAGACCTGTCTCTTACTTCCTGTGGGGTCTGCAAGTGATGAGAAGTGGTGGGCGTGAGAGCTCCCCCTGCAGGCCTCCCAAACTCATGTCACTGAGGCTTCCCTTAATCGATTTTCATGGTACAACTACTACCACCTCTTGCTTATCTTAGTTTTTCAGTTGGTTTTGACTATGAAAGGAATATAGTCCGTCATATAACCTTCAAATAGTGATACATTTGCCTGTTTAATTTTATACCTCTAATTTATTTCTCTTCTGTAATTGTGTGGCTAGTATAGTGCTTCCCAAGAATTTCACACCATGGCACATACTGAAAATTAAATTTTTAGTGTACACTAGCATAAATAAGAAGTGCTTTGTGAGGCCAGAGGGAACCAGCCCAGGCCTAACTACACAAAGCCCCACTTGATTGATCTAAGATGGGTTGAGAAGTAGCCCTATGCCTCTCTAAAACGTTATTTTTTAAGAAGTAATGATCACAAACTTGTTTGGCTCCTGACTTTAATGGGGAAAAGTCTATAGTCTTTTCTCATTAAATAAGTTGATTTGGGGATTGAGTTAGTTATATTTTAGTTTGTTAAGTATTTAGGCATTCCTGTTATATCAAGAGATACAGTAAAAAATGGATATTGAAATAATAAACATTTCTTAAGCATTGCTGCTGTATGCTACATCTTAGAACTGAAAGAATGAATAAGATGAACCACACTGCAGAAAAGAATACAAGTCCAAGGAGACTTGAAGTCAGATCCTGTCTGTGCTGCAGGTGCCAGCTTTGTGACCTCGGGCAGGCCATTCAGTTTACTTATCTTAGCTTAATTATCTGTAAAAAGGGTTGTTATTCTAAGACATGATTCCACACTTGTGCAGTCCAGTAGGGTGATACAGACATATTTTAAAGTAATTGCAATAAAAATGAGGTGGTACAGTAGAGATGGAAGAGTGATCAGCAGTGAAGTAACGGAATCATCTCCTCTGCCCAAAGAGGGGCTTGGAGAGGCTTCACAAAGAAGAGTATTTACTTACACTGGACCTTGAAGGAAGAGTAGGGGGCACACAGCACGTGAAACTGCCTGATGCATTTAGGAAACTAACTAGACCACAGGTATGGGCAAAGGACGGAAGAGACTGGAGAGGTAACAGGTCATAGATCACAGAAGATTTTGGACTTTATTCTCTAAGCAACTGGGAGGTGCTGAAGAGTATTCAGCCAACAAATATGCTGGTGGTGGTTGTGTTAAGCTGATCGGAGAGAATTGCCTTAAGCTATTGCATTTGAGTAAGGCCTGAATAAGGCAGTGGGAGGAATTGAGGGGAAGTGGCAGATTTGAAGAGACTTAGGTAGTGAAATCAGCAAGACCCAGAGGCTGTTGGACTGTCTGGAAAGGAGTAAATAGCAATTCCCAGGGTTTCAGTCTAGGAAGAAAAAGTGTTCTAAAAGTCTTCTACTTTTTTCTCTAGAAAAATACAATCTGTCTTAACTGTATAGCTTACACAAAAAGTTTGGTAAGGTACATCACAGACTAAATGAGTATGAGTACCATGGATGATAGTAGTCCTATTTATTCTGTAGGTAGCATTGAAAAGAGATACATAGCCAAATTAACACACTTAAAATTAACAAAGGTCTGAAAAAAATTTTAAGTGTGATTTCAGTGTTAACGAGAAAGAAGAATTTGAATTTTTGCATTTTAGTGTTTCAGGGCTTTTAAAGTGTGTAGTTTTGAATTTGCAGTAGTGTTTATATTTTATAACTAAATTTTTTTAATGGAAATATTAAGATGAATAGTCAACCTGAAATAAAACTTGTATGTGCAAAATGTTTAAAGTGTATTTATTAACTTTTTTTTCTTCTATTCTAGTTACTCTCTCTGGAAATGGAGAAAACGGTAAGGCACTTTTAGTCTCAGTTTAAGTAAAATACTTACATGTGGTGTGTTAATTGCAATCCACATACTTTTTCATTTAGTGATGATTATGTGCTTTTGTTTTCAGAAAGAAAGTATTTTCTTAAAAGGAGATCTAGTATTGGGTTTATTTGTATACTTTCAGTGTATTACCAGTTGTGTTATTTATATAATTGAAGTAGCTGTTTTTCGTAAAGCACTTAGTACCCAAACTTTTTTGATATATTTATATATGTATTTCTGTCTTGTATGTTCTTCAGAACTCTTGATAATAGCTCAAAGATTTTTAATATCTCTCAGTCTAGCTAGGGTTGGGGGAGGGAATTTTGTCTCCTGATGTCTAAAGTTTATTGATACATTTGTTAAAAATACTATTCACACATTTAATAAAATAGCAAGACTCTAAATTTGTAAATTGTATTGCTATTTCATTTTGAAAGGTAATTCAAGTTTTTATGACCAAAGAGATAATGCCTAGAGAGAAAAATCATATCTCAAAATTTCACCCAACATAAAAGAAAAATTTAATTTTTCGAGATAAAATTTAAAAAAATATATATGTGAGATACAAAAATCCAAAGGATTTCTAAAACAGTTGAACATTTGAAATTATTAATATATGTTTATTCTTATTATTGGAAATAATTAGACATTAAGCATGTAAATCTCAAGTTGTCTTTGAATCTAACTTCTCACTAACAGAATAAATATAGACTCAGTTTTGATGGGATTATTTTTCTTCCTTTAAATCAAAATGTTTCCTATATGTTGAAAGCTCAAGTACAGAAAGAAGAGAATTTCTGAAATTCTTATGAAAGAACTTAACTTGTGTATTATTTATTGGAGCCAGTTTTCCCTGTGTCTTTCAAAGAGTCTCTTGATAAAGTTGTTTGCTTATTTGTTTTTTAATATAGTTATAGGTGATTTTTGAATAAAAATTTTGATTTATAGGTTCCTTTTTTTTTGGCTTTGATATAAATTGCATGTTAATTACGCTTTTACTTTATATATTACTCTAACCAATGGTGTATAGCACATACATGTGACCAGAAGTTGGCTAATTAGCAATCACATTAATTTGAACTTATTTAAAAGCAATATTTCCTATTATCCTTTACATAATAATTTGATAATTACATCTGTTAAGTACTTAACTATATCCCAGGCATTATGCTAAGAGACTTGCCTATTTTTTTTAAACTGAGGGCTAAGATTTTTTAAAGCAAAAGCCATTTGTTTTTGTTCTTATGAAGAGCAGAAATATTCTAAAAATATATTAAATGTTTTAAAAAACATTTTAAGGGTATATTGTTTTACAGTTGAACCTTAGTTGTAAGTAACTAAATGATTAAGAAATGTAAGGTACCTCATCGTTAACATTTATCTCAAAGCTATGTAAGTATATAGATGAGGACTGGCAAATTTGATTGATCATGGGGCCCAACCAGTAATATAAGTAAATGAAGTGAGCTAGGTGGAGGTAACATTGCAGACTCTAGAAATGGCCTCTGTGCTGGGGTACCAGTGGGAGACTGAGCTCCAGCCTACTCTTCCAAAGAAAAAACAAACGGAGGAACAATGCTGAATCCTCTGTAGGCCATGGAGTTCAACTTGGAGGGTCTGCCATGGTAGAGCATGCAGATTTTGATAAACCAGAATTTTCAATGAGGATGACAGTCAATTTCAGTGGAAGTGAAAGGAAAGCAAATTTGTAATAGAAGGAAGCTGTGGTTAGGATTTTATTTTGGAATCAGATGTTGGCTCTAAAGTAGGATGTCACCGCTAGGATGATGGTTAAAGAAATGGAGGAAAATATAATTTTAGGTATGTCATAGTGAAAAAGAACCTTGGATTTTTCCAGGTAGACAAAGGGTTTGAATTCTGGCTTTATCATTTAGTAACTAAGTGACATCTGGCAAGATGCCAAATTCTCTGAACCTCAGTTTTTACATTTGTAAACTGAAAGAATCCCTATATTACTACTGTGAGGGCTGGAAATAAGGTATGCATTACAGGCCTTCTAAGTGGACTTGTAGGAGGAAGAAGTGGTGATTGGAATACAGTAGTTCAATATGGCTACCAGGAAGTCCCAGAGTTTTAGAATGCATTCAGTAGTCACGTAGATGGGGTTATTTCCCAGGAGTTTCACAACCGAGGAGAAGAAACTATGAGCAGCACGTTTTACACTAACCACTGAGGTGGACTGAAAGCAAGAGAAAGAGATTTTAGGAGTTAGAATTTGAAGTGTTCTGTGCTGAGGAGCTGTGCGACTTGAGGAGTCACTGAGCCCAGCTTCCTCCGCCAGTAAACTGTGATTGTTGGGGGTTCTGTGCTCTTGGGCCAGGCAAGGACCAGTATAATTGCAAAAGAAGATGTGGTGGTGCAGTGAATTGTCAATTTATCAGTATTTTATGTAAAAGAACATTTTTTAAAACATAAATATAAAGAAAAATTACCTGAGACCAAGAAAGGACCACACTTCAAATTGAATACATTAGCTTTATAAAAACTTAACTACATTGTTTGAATGTTTCTCATTTCACTTCAGAGCAGTGAAAACTGTCATCAGTCCTTTAACTGCGGAAACAGTGAAATGGGGAATGCAAAAGAAGAACCAAATTTTGAGAAGAAATTAACACTCCTGGATAATAATAATGACATCAGTATTTACTGAAGATTTACTGTGCGCCAGGCACTGTTCTAAGTGTTTTGCATGTATTAACTCATCAGTATTAAGCAACTAACTTCAATGAAACAAATGAAGTGCTTTAATTGAAGTCTGAGCATATTATCTGGGGAGTTGGTATGAAAAGAAAATGAATTCTGAGAAAGATGGAGAAGGCTTTTGTGAAAGTAGTATTTGATCTGAACTTTAAAATAAGAATTTAAAATGTAAATCATTTTAAAGTGAAACTTTCAAAATGAGTAGAATTTCAAACTCTCATGCTTGTTTAAAGTTTTTTTTCAGTGAATTTGTGGTGCTGCATTCCAAACTGAAAAATAGTTTAAGCACCTGGTAGATAGTTTTTACTTATGGAAACCAGTCCCACTTCTTCCTAAAAGAAAACTAGAGAACACAACAAAAAGCTGTAAGTCACATTAATGAGTTAACATTGAAGATAAAGATGTTCAAATATTAGACTAATCCACTTGGGAAACAGTTATGGCAGAAATTTGAAGTGGTTAAAAATTTTTCACTACTAAGTTGAAAGAAAAGAATGAAATTTAGGGTAACCTTTCTGAACAATCCAGGAATTGGGTTTTCCAAAGGTACTCACTATTCACGGTGATGGGAACTTCCTTATTTACTTTCAGTAAATATTGTTTTAATGTAATACTCTTCCTGTTTTCACCTGGATTCAATGAAATGTTATTTGTTTTTATTTACCAGGAAAGGCCGTTGTTTACCTTGTGGCATTCCATCTGTTCTTTGTTATGTTTGTATGGTCCTATTGGATGACAATTTTCTCATCTCACGCTTCCCCCTCCAAAGAGGTAAATTACCAAATGCTGTATCTAATTATGGAGTTATTTCCCCTGTGTTATACCTTTGTTAAAAAGTTTATTAAGTAATGCATTTGTTCTGTTTCCATTCATAAAATGGCTTGGTGACTACGTTGTGAGCCTAAGTCATCAGCCTGCTCTCAGATAAAGCCCACCGACAGCATAGTAAAAGATGGATAACAGTGCAGTTCAGTTGTACTCATATTTTTCTGGCATGCTTAAAGAGATACTTTATATTATTGGAGTAAAAAATCCTAAGGGACAGAACTGAGTTAGGAAAGTAGTTTATTTTTAGAAATCCTCTTAATATTTATATTTTCTCAGGCCTGAACAAAAATGCTATAACTATAGAAAGTGTTTTTATTGTAGGAAATAAATTGTCTAGGCTGTTGCTTATTACACTTTAATATGGCTAGTGTTTCTTCTAATTGGAGGTTCCACTTGGCTAGTAATGTGGGTAATAATTTATGTGGAGTAAGTTTTAAGACCAGTATGTCTCTCTTGCCTTGACATAGCTGGCTGAATTCTTCCTTCACCTTTATAGCTAGACAGCTAAGAATATATTCTCTAGAGTTAAGATTGTCTGAGTTTGATTTCCTGTTCTAACACATGACTTAATGTCTCTGAGGCTCAGTTTTCTCATCAGAAAATGAAGCTATAGCACCTGTCTATGTAAGATGTTTGTGAGGATTAAGTGAGATTCATTCATGTACAGCTTTTAACTGTGGCTAACCTGCCACAGTTAGCACTCATGTTAGATGATAATAATAGTTATTTTCCTTCATACTAAATTCATAAAAATTCATTAAAAATTATAGACCATATTTTTAAAAATATCAACTCCCATTTAACTCTTTATAAAAGAGCATATAAGCAGAAAAGTATATATATATATATATATCATAAATGTACAATTGATAAATTTCACAAACCGAACATTCTTGCATCACTAGCACCCATTCCAGAAACAGAACATCACCAGCACCCCATAAGCCTCCTTCTGCTCCCTTCTAGTCATGCACTTGATGAGAAACCACACTTCTGCCTTCTAATAGTGTCAGTTGGTTTTGCCAGGTTTTATACTTCATATAAATAGAGTCGTACAGTATATATGCGTGTGTCTTGCTTCTTTCATCATCAGTATTCGGTGTGTGAGATTCATCTGTGTTGTTGCATGTGGTTGTGGGTCACTCATTCTCATTACTGTTTAGTATTCAGTTTTTTGTAACACTATCTGTTCTACTGGTGATGGGCAGGGGCAGTTTTATAGTTTGCAGTTTAAGGCTGTTACATATAGGGCTGCTATTAACGTGCTAGTGCATATGCATAGGTATATGTGTATATGCATAAACATATGTGACTCTGCTGGATTATATGTTCTGTATACATCAGCATTTATAGGCAATACAAACAGTCTGTTACCAGTTTTTTTCTATTGGGTACTTTTAAGGGGTAATATAGACCATTAATCAAATTTAGTGTTTCTTCAGATATATTCTTCAGATGTTTAGTAATAATTAATCAAGTCTTAAAGTTAAGTTAAAGCTGCCATCCATATCTTAAATTCTAAGTTGAAAAGGAGTCCATTTTATTTAGTCAGTTACTAGTAGTGATGGCTGTTGAAAACATAGCATGTGTAACAGTAAATAGTTCTCATAATAATAAATAGAATAAGAAAAACAATGGTAATGCTTTAGGGAAGCAATACAGCATAGAGGTTAAGAAGCCAAGACTGGCTCCAGACCACCCAGGCTCAGCTCATACTATTGCCTCTTACTCCCTGTGTGACATTGGAGACTTCCCCTAGCTGTCTGTACCTCAGATTTCTCCTCTTTACAATAAGGGTCATAGTAGTCCATACCTTGTGGAATTATTTAAAATACTGAGTATATATATGTGTGATTAATAATATGTATAATTAATAATAATATATACGAAGTGCATAGAAGAATGCCTAGCACATAATAAATGCCATCTAAATGTTACTATTTCTCTTTGGTGGTGGTTTTTGACATATTCCATCCATTTAGCATTCAGCCTAGCACTTAAACCTCTGCATCCACTCCATCCTTCATGCCCTGTTCCTGTAAGGTCAGCTGACTGCCCGAGCCTGTGTCTAGAGGCCCTGCTTGGCATGCTCTGCCTTCCCTATCATAAAACTTACTATCTGTTGTAATTGCATCTGTTGTAATATGCATCCCATTAGTGAATTGTCCGTATTTTGAGGACACAGATCATTTTTATCATATTCTCCACTATACCCTTTCCACATGATCTAGCACACAGTGGGTATTCAGTAACTGTTGAATTAATTATTAAATCATCAAGGGCCAGCTAAGCTAAGCTGCAGTGACAACCAAGAGCAGAAATCTAAGGTTCTCTTCCTAAATAAGCTTACGCTGTGCTCACTGAGATAGCTCTTTGTAAGTCCAGAACTGTGAGACAATTTGTACCAGAGTAGCTGCATTAAAAGGACTCTGTAGGCTCAGCAGACAGGACAACACTTGGAGATCAGACCTAGGGGAATTGTTTGGGTCTCATGGGCAAAAACTATGTTTTTAGGGAAATCAAGTTATAGATATGGGTTTGTTTGTTTATTTTTCATTCTTTCAGTCAGCAAGTACTTACTGAGCACCTGCTCTTTATCAGACTACTAGGCTCTGGGAATAAAAAGAACAAGTCCTTACACTTTAAAGGGAGAGACAGATGATAAGTAAACAAACTAATTAAAAGCTGTGATAAATTTAGATAACTTTATAGAGAAGGAACATGATGCTGCAGTGCAGCAGAACAGAGGAAAACTATTAGGGGAAAGGCTGCCTTAGATGACATGGTTACAGAAATCTTCTTCAGGGACGTGACATCTAAGCCAAGATCTTTTTTAACCATCTCTTTCACTATCCCCATTGCCTAGACTCAGACCTAGTATACAGTAGGCGGATTGATAAATTTGAGTGGATGGACTGAGGAGGGACAACATATGAAGAGCTGGTAGGCATCTTCCACGACTAAGTGTCATCTTTCTAAGATGAAAATATGGGCTCACCACTTCTCTGGTAATCCTGCAGCAGTTGTCGGTCAGCTGAAGACAGAAGTCATGCTCATTTGTGTGATACACAAGACCTTCATGAACTAAGATCTTACTCACTTCATTCATCTCCCCTGATTCTTCATGGAACTCTACACTCAAGTGATGAATTGCCCTGAATATACCCCACTATTTTTACATCTTTGTGCTTTCCATATGCCATGCCTGTTACCAAACTTTCCTGTTTATCTCTTAAAACCCAGCTTAGGTACCACTTCTTCCAAGGAACTTTCCCTGACATGCTCCCCACCCCCATTCCAAAGAGAGCTTTCATATACCTTAAAATCTATTGCAATGTTGTGCCTATTATGCTGATTTTTAAGTTGTCATTATTTACATTGGCTACTATTTCTGCAGGACTATAAGAGTGTACTGTTTTGATGGCAAAGGCTGTATTTTTATTCCTCTTTGGGACCCTAATGTCTGGGGCAGTGCCACGCTCTTAATTGGTATTTAATTTATATTTAAATTGAACCATCTGAACACTGAATTTAAGATAACTTCATAGTTTGAATTCTGTTTGCTAGTTTTTTGTTTGTTTGTTTGTTTTTTGGTATCATTAATATAAAGTCACATGAGAAATTTGCAGTTTAAGGCTGTTACATATAGGGCTGCTATTAACGTGCTAGTGCATATGCATAGGTATATGTGTATATGCATAAACATATGTGACTCTGCTGGATTATATGTTCTGTATACATCAGCATTTATAGGCAATACAAACAGTCTGTTACCAGTTTTTTTCTATTGGGTACTTTTAAGGGGTAATATAGACCATTAATCAAATTTAGTGTTTCTTCAGATATATTCTTCAGATGTTTAGTAATAATTAATCAAGTCTTAAAGTTAAGTTAAAGCTGCCATCCATATCTTAAATTCTAAGTTGAAAAGGAGTCCATTTTATTTAGTCAGTTACTAGTAGTGATGGCTGTTGAAAACATAGCATGTGTAACAGTAAATAGTTCTCATAATAATAAATAGAATAAGAAAAACAATGGTAATGCTTTAGGGAAGCAATACAGCATAGAGGTTAAGAAGCCAAGACTGGCTCCAGACCACCCAGGCTCAGCTCATACTATTGCCTCTTACTCCCTGTGTGACATTGGAGACTTCCCCTAGCTGTCTGTACCTCAGATTTCTCCTCTTTACAATAAGGGTCATAGTAGTCCATACCTTGTGGAATTATTTAAAATACTGAGTATATATATGTGTGATTAATAATATGTATAATTAATAATAATATATACGAAGTGCATAGAAGAATGCCTAGCACATAATAAATGCCATCTAAATGTTACTATTTCTCTTTGGTGGTGGTTTTTGACATATTCCATCCATTTAGCATTCAGCCTAGCACTTAAACCTCTGCATCCACTCCATCCTTCATGCCCTGTTCCTGTAAGGTCAGCTGACTGCCCGAGCCTGTGTCTAGAGGCCCTGCTTGGCATGCTCTGCCTTCCCTATCATAAAACTTACTATCTGTTGTAATTGCATCTGTTGTAATATGCATCCCATTAGTGAATTGTCCGTATTTTGAGGACACAGATCATTTTTATCATATTCTCCACTATACCCTTTCCACATGATCTAGCACACAGTGGGTATTCAGTAACTGTTGAATTAATTATTAAATCATCAAGGGCCAGCTAAGCTAAGCTGCAGTGACAACCAAGAGCAGAAATCTAAGGTTCTCTTCCTAAATAAGCTTACGCTGTGCTCACTGAGATAGCTCTTTGTAAGTCCAGAACTGTGAGACAATTTGTACCAGAGTAGCTGCATTAAAAGGACTCTGTAGGCTCAGCAGACAGGACAACACTTGGAGATCAGACCTAGGGGAATTGTTTGGGTCTCATGGGCAAAAACTATGTTTTTAGGGAAATCAAGTTATAGATATGGGTTTGTTTGTTTATTTTTCATTCTTTCAGTCAGCAAGTACTTACTGAGCACCTGCTCTTTATCAGACTACTAGGCTCTGGGAATAAAAAGAACAAGTCCTTACACTTTAAAGGGAGAGACAGATGATAAGTAAACAAACTAATTAAAAGCTGTGATAAATTTAGATAACTTTATAGAGAAGGAACATGATGCTGCAGTGCAGCAGAACAGAGGAAAACTATTAGGGGAAAGGCTGCCTTAGATGACATGGTTACAGAAATCTTCTTCAGGGACGTGACATCTAAGCCAAGATCTTTTTTAACCATCTCTTTCACTATCCCCATTGCCTAGACTCAGACCTAGTATACAGTAGGCGGATTGATAAATTTGAGTGGATGGACTGAGGAGGGACAACATATGAAGAGCTGGTAGGCATCTTCCACGACTAAGTGTCATCTTTCTAAGATGAAAATATGGGCTCACCACTTCTCTGGTAATCCTGCAGCAGTTGTCGGTCAGCTGAAGACAGAAGTCATGCTCATTTGTGTGATACACAAGACCTTCATGAACTAAGATCTTACTCACTTCATTCATCTCCCCTGATTCTTCATGGAACTCTACACTCAAGTGATGAATTGCCCTGAATATACCCCACTATTTTTACATCTTTGTGCTTTCCATATGCCATGCCTGTTACCAAACTTTCCTGTTTATCTCTTAAAACCCAGCTTAGGTACCACTTCTTCCAAGGAACTTTCCCTGACATGCTCCCCACCCCCATTCCAAAGAGAGCTTTCATATACCTTAAAATCTATTGCAATGTTGTGCCTATTATGCTGATTTTTAAGTTGTCATTATTTACATTGGCTACTATTTCTGCAGGACTATAAGAGTGTACTGTTTTGATGGCAAAGGCTGTATTTTTATTCCTCTTTGGGACCCTAGTGTCTGGGGCAGTGCCACGCTCTTAATTGGTATTTAATTTATATTTAAATTGAACCATCTGAACACTGAATTTAAGATAACTTCATAGTTTGAATTCTGTTTGCTAGTTTTTTGTTTGTTTGTTTGTTTTTTGGTATCATTAATATAAAGTCACATGAGAACATTGTGGTTACTAGATTCCGCCCATTATCAAGTCCCCACCACATACCCCATTACAACCACTGTCCAGCAGCATAGTAAGATTTTATAAGGTCACTACTTATCTTCTCTGTGCTATACTGCCTTTGTTTGCTAGTTTTTAATAAAAAATAGACTAACAGTAATAATTCCAAAAAACCTAATCCATTTTAAATTTATTCTATTCCTCATTTAAAATTCTAGGATCTCATGAGACTTTCATTTGGTTTAAGATTTTCATAATTTATAACCTTAGTTCTTAAGGGAAAGTAATGATGTTGAGGCCAGGGATATTACTGCAAGCTAGAAACAGGATAGCCCAAGGAAATCTTCAGATTTTACAGGGAAACTGTAAAATTTGAGAACATCTCCTATCCAGATACATGTTTTAACATAATGCTATATGATTTTTATACTGTATATGAATGCTTCAGAGACATATCATGTCAGGGAAGAACTTTCTAACAAGTTACTATTCTCTTAAAAAAGAATGAGCCATCTTGCAAAGTAGGAAAGTATTTCTATACCTGAAACTATTCAGGAATGGTTGGATCTCAGAAATGTCTGTAAATCCCTGCCTGCCTGGGCAGTTAGGTGAGTGACCTCCAAAGTCTGAACTGATCGTGTGAATCATCCCCTGACTTCTTCTGTTCTATTCATTTGTCCATGTTACTTCTTGTCCCTTATATAAGTAATTTGGGGATTTCTTGTGCCTTCAAGATTTGTTTGGGAACCAGACTAGGTAATCTAAATAGACTAGTTACATTTATTTTACTGCCTTTGTTTTACATTTTATTTTACATTAGCAGTGTAGAGGGAAACATACTAGAATAGAACTTAAAAGACTTGCATTTTAGTATCAGCTCTGCCCATAATTATAGAATCTTAGAAAATGCCCCAAGCCTCTTGGGATCACAGTTTCCTCAGTGAAGAGTTCTTTCTACGGTGCCAAACTTTTGCCTCTTTAAAAAGCATGGAATAATTGATAGGCTAATACTGTTATTGATAATAAGGCTTCAACATATGGGAAGTTTGGGTGTTTGAGTTAGCAGGTAAACCCAAATACTTAAATATAAAAAGATGAAATTCTAGCCATGACTCCTTAGGCCTTTTCAAGTAAAACCCCATAAGTGAGTAAAAATTAAGGACCAATATTGTAAAAAATTAAGATACGAGCAAGAGCATGCCTCGAGCCTTTAAAGAAATTCTGTGAAATAAGCACTGGCAGAAACTTAGAACTCCTAGTTATATGACATAGAGGGATAAAACTGAGGGTCCTTGAGCTGCTACGATGAAAGAAGAAGAGCAATTAAACAAGTCCTTTTCAGGGAAAATGTTATTTGAAGAAATGAACTGGAGGCCAGCCACACCTTGGGAATAAAAGCTTAAGAATTGGAAACTAGGAATAACTCCATAAATGAATCTCTCCTTGGTAAAAAGAGACTGTGCTTGCCTTGACAATCCACAATTCTTAATGATTTTGTAGAAAGCACTCCTACAGGTTAACTTTTTAACAGCTGAAACAAAAGTATTAAAAGAATGACATGTTGACTTCACTGAGGCATTTGATCAGAAAGCAATTCAACTCCATGCCTCTCTGACTTAGCCTGTTACCCAGAGCTGGTGAGTCTTCCGACTATTAAATAAATCTTCTAATTATTAAACATCTCCTGACACTAACTTTCAAACAACACCAAAATTTTTACTAAAAGAAAATAAATATTAAGCCCTTTTTGATGGGGAGATTTAATTTTTTTTGTAAAAAAAAGATGTAAAAAATTTTAGTTCATATTCTTTTCCATCAGTATGGAGAGCAAATACTTTTTAAGCTTTCAAAGGTAAGTAGTTTTGTTAAAATGTGCTAAATTTAGCTTCTTAGAGTGAAGAAATTTGAAGACAAGTTTTGCCCTTATAGAAGAAAATATTTTGTTATTTTCTGTTCTTGATAAAACTTTGTTTTTCTGAGCGAGATAGTTTATAATCATGGAATTAAAAAGAACTAACAATTATTTCTCCTTTTATAGTTCTACTTGTCTAACTCTGAAAAGGAACATTATGAAAAAGAATTCAGCCAAGAAAGACAACAAGAAATTTTGAGAAGAGCAGCCAGGGACTTACCTATCTATACCACATCAGCTTCAAGGAGTAAGAAAAACCTAATCTTAAAGCTTTCCTTTCCAAAAAATGTTTAAAATATGGTCATTTCTGCCAAGATACCTTTGCATTATTTGATTTTTAAATGGATGCTGTGATTGCCACAAGCAACATCTACAGGAACAAGATCTTCCTGTGTTCTGTGTCTCCTGTAGTATTTTAGAAGTGTATGTAATATTGATAATAGATTCTTTTTAAGGGGCTCTCTTTAATATGTGTCTCTTTTTCTCTGCATGTGCTTTTTTTTTCCATCTCTACCTTCATGACTAAAAATTTCATCTGTTATTCTTAGTAAACTATCATTTGGAAATTCTGGTTTGAATTTGAGTATTGTGTGTCATCACTGAGTAATTTTTATCAAGAATGTGCTAACTTAGAATGGGGAGAAGTAGAAGACACAAAGGGGAAGACTCTTGCTCAAGGTTGTAAAGCTGTGTTCAGAGAGCCAGAATCCAAGCCCGGTGCTCTGGTCCCAAAGCCCTCAGTGTCCCCACCGCCCTGCTGCCTGTACTGAGACACGTGTCTGCCACAGTAATGCCCTGTCCTCAGGGTCAGAGCCTGTGATGAGGATGGATTTATGAGTGTCCAAGCTAGTCTTTAAATACAGGTAATTGCTTTAAATTATGTATTAGATATCTCATCAGCTAGTTCAAATACCATATAATAATTAAAGCTAACAGTTATTCTGTTCTAAGTGCTTTATACATATGAACTCACTTAAAATTCACAACAACCCTTTTATGAGGGAGATACTGTTGTCTCCTTTTACAAATGAGGAAACAGAGACACAGGTTAAGTGACTTGTTCAAATTCATACAGATAGTATGTGAAAAAGTAGAGATGCTAGGTGCCCTGGCCCCAAAACCCACTACACTTTTCTGAGAGGGAAGAAAGGGAGCTTTACCTTTGCATAGTTGCATGCAGATTGTGACTTAAGAAAATTTAAAGTTTGTATAAGATTTTAGGAGGGGGTATTTAACCAACTTTTAAATTTTCCATGCATTTTGTATAACTAATACATTACCATATAGAATAAAAACATGGATTTCAGACCAAACTCCAGCTTTTCCATTACTAGTGCAGTGAGTCTCTTAAACTTTCTGAGCTCTAGTTTCCTCATTTTAAAATGGGAAGATAATACCTGTATCTTTAGGTTAGTGGAAGTGTTAACTGAGATATGTAAATGACATATGCACTTGTATAGATCTTGGTATATAATAATAAATTTTCAGTAAATGATAGCTGATTTAAAATAGCCCTTTTTATATTTGATCATGTGGAAGGTCTGGTTTACAATAATAATTAGTAGTTGTACTTCTGTATATTAGATGTTTTTAACTCAAAGTTCAGGATTTTAGAAAATTTATGAACCCCTGAGATTTCACACAAAAATTTGAGTATATGGGGTTTCCAAAGTAACCTATCCATAGCAAGATCATCTCATTTTCAGAGCAGTACCAGTGCTCCAGAGGGTTATTAGTCATTGATGTAAAATCTTTATATTTAAAGCTTCACTATTTTTCATTCATTATAAGGGATTTCCTCTAATCTGAATATTACCCTTCATCTAGTTAATATTGTACTATTATTAAGCTAATAACTTTACTAATGATTATTTAAATTTCAGAATAACTCTGAGATAGGTGTTACACTTGCCATCATTTTTGAGCACCATTTTTTACTACATTCTCCTGCTTAGAATTCTAAACTTTGGTGTAGGGCTGGGTGGGAGTTCTTAACATAGAAGTAATATCCATTCATTCTTCACAAAAGAAAATTACAGAAATACATGTTATAGCAAGTGGACCTTTCATAGACTAGAGATTAGTGAAAGTAATGGATCTGTGTTAACAGAAAAGAATCAGGGCTGAGCCACAGGGATGGGGGAATTTTCACTCATTTCTTTTTTGTGTGTTTTTGAACCATGTGACTATGTAATCTATTTAGTTATCAAAATGAATCTTTCTAAACTTTTTCCCCTCCATAATCTGGATCCAGCCAATGTCTCTCTAGCTTTGTCCCACACTATTTCCCTGCATCATGTCACCTCTGTGCTAAACCGCTCTGTCCTTTCCCAAACTTTTCTTCTTGATCTCTGCCTAGAATGATTATTTTAGCCTCTCTAAATACAATTTAAAGTTTTCATTCAGTGTCCACCTCTTTTCAACTCATTTCTGTTCACTTTAACAAAAAGTGATTTGTAAAATCTGCCTCACTTCTCATTTTTACCTTGTAAATGACAAGTCACTGCCTGGTGGTTACTTGTGTTCATGTTGCTTCAACTCTGTTCCAAGTCTGGAAGCCAGGGATTCCCTCACACACCACATCCCTACACAGTGTCTCACTGAACAAGCACTCAGTAGTTTGAGTGAATCTCAGTAGGTACTCATTTGTTGAATGAATCTATTTACGGGTATTCTCTATAATGCTGTTTATAGGCTTTTTAGTGTCCCTTTTTTCTCCCCTCACTGACTTTTCCCATTATAGAGTCTGACTTTATATTTTATCAGAAATAATAATATCATAATGGTAACAGCTGTTTTATTGAGAATCTGATATGTTCCAGAAGATTTATTTTTAATCAGCACAGTAGTTCTTTATATTTTGTATTATTTGCATTTACAGGAAAGGAAATTGTTCCTCTTAGAAAGTAGGTAACTGACCCACAGTCACAGGCTAGTAAGTGGGAAAATAGCGTCAGATCTGTTGATACTGATCATCTTTAGAAACTAGCTTTTCCTCCATGTTATCCCTTTCTTCTTGATATCTTGTCTTTTCTTACATTTGCATAGTGATTGTTGACCTTTTACTTCTCCACCAGTTTGCTCCAAAAAATCTTTCTTCTCCCCTTAATAAATTCCAACCAGTTTCTTCCCTTTGCTTTCAGGTATATTTCCAAGTATATATCCTCTTAAAAACAACAAAAATTTGGTTCTGATGCTGTACCAACTACCACTCTATTTTCTCTTCCCTCCTAAGAGCTGTCCACACCCAGAGCCTCTCTTCCTTCCCAGCTGATTCCAAGCACCTGGTTCATTCTTCTTAACCAAGTTCAGTGCCTTTTGTCATTGACTTGTTAGAAAGCTTTCCACTTTGTGCTTTTTAGTCCTAGTTCTGTTTTTGCATACTTGAATATTATTCCTTCTCCTACTTTTTTAAAATTCTCCTATTTTCTTACAAGGGTGCCTGTCCTGCATTCTTTCTATACTGTTCCTTCAGCTGTTGTTTTTAAATTAACCATGGAAGTCTGACACTATGACATTGTGATCATTAGTTTATCGTGTCTTGAATAATTTTGTTTAATAGTTTTCAAGAATGAGTTACATTTTTAAAATATGAATTAGATTCAAGGATGTTGTCATGCCAGCACTCACTTGCATCCCAAACCCTTTACCATGTGTCAGGCAGAGGGTGGAGTTGCAACTGCCCGCAGGGTTACTATCTCTGAAGTGGCTTGCAGAGCAGCTGCACCGGGGCTGCAGCATCACTCCTGGTGTGTTGGGGGAGAGCCTGCAAGCCTGGCCACAGTACACCCAGACACCATTAGCAAGGCTTCCCTGCATTCATCTTGGCATGCACCTTTCCATTAAACATCTCTGGCTCTCACTAGAGCTCCATTCTTGTATTTCCAGTTTCCAAAGTATAGCTGTACTTGAGTGACCAATTATCCAACCCTACAAACTCAAACAGAACTAGATTTACCAGTTCAAAACCTTATACCATGGTCCTAGAAAAATACAAACTTCCAAGAATGACCCAGAAAGAAACAGAAAATCTAAACAGACCAATTACCAGCAACGAAATTGAATCGATAATCAAAAAACTACCCAAGAACAAAACCTCTGGGCCAGATGGATTTACCTCAGAATTTTATCAGACATACAGAGAAGACATAATACCCATTCTCCTTAAAGTTTTTCAAAAAATAGAAGAGGAGGAAATACTCCCAAATTCATTCTATGAAGCCAACATCACTGTAATACCAAAACCAGGCAAAGACCCCACCAAAAAAGAAAACTACAGACCAATATCCCTGATGAACGTAGATGCAAAAATACTCAACAAAATATTAGCAAACCGAATCAAAACTACATCAAGAGGATCATACACCATGACCAAGTAGGATTCATCCCAGGGATGCAAGGATGGTACAACAATCAAAAATCCATCAACATCATCCACCACATCAACAAAAAGAAGGACAAAAACCACATGATCATCTCCATAGATGCTGAAAAGGCATTCGACAAAAATTCAACATCCATTCATGATAAAAACTCTCAACAAAATGGGCATAGAGGGCAAGTATCTCAACATAATAAAGGCCATATATGACAAACCCACAGCTAACATCTTACTGAACAGCGAGAGGCTGAAAGCTTTTCCTCTGAGATCGGGAACAAGACAGGGATGCCCACTCTCCCCACTGTTATTCAACATAGTACTAGAGGGCCTAGCCACAGCAATCAGACAAAACAAAGAAATACAAGGAATCCAGGTTCGTAAAGAAGAAGTCAAACTGTCACTATTTGCAGATGACATGATATTGTACATAAAAAACCCTAAAGACTCCACTGCAAAACTACTAGAACTGATACTGGAATTCAGCAAAGTTGCAGGATACAAAATTAACACACAGAAATCTGTAGCTTTCCTATACACTAACAATGAACTAATAGAAAGAGAAATCAGGAAAAGAATTCCATTCACAATTGCATCAAAAAGAATAAAATACCTAGGAGTAAACCTAACCAAGGAAGTGAAAGACCTATACCCTGAAAACTACAAGACACTCTTAAGAGAAATTAGAGAGGTCACTAACAAATGGAAACTCATCCCATGCTCCTGGCTGGGGAAGAATTAATATTGTCAAAATGGCCATCCTGCCCAAAGCATTATACAGATTTGATGCAATCCCTATCAAATTACCAACAGCATTCTTCAATGAACTGGAACAAATAGTTCAAAAATTCATATGGAACCGCCAAAGACCCTGAATAGCCAAAGCAATCCTGAGAAGAAAGAATAAAGTGGGGGGGATCTCGCTCCCCAACTTCAAGCTCTACTACAAAGCCACAGTAATCAAGACAATTTGGTACTGGCAGAAGAAGAGAACCACAGACCAGTGGAACAGAATAGAGACTCCAGACATTAACCCAAACATATATGGCCAATTAATATATGATAAAGGAGCCATGGACATACAATGGGGAAAGGACAGTCTCTTCAACAGATGGTGCTGGCAAAACTGGACAGCTATATGTAAGAGAATGAAACTGGATCACTGTCTAACCCCATACACAAAAGTAAACTCAAAATGGATCAAAGACCTGAATGTAAGTCATGAAACCATAAAACTCTTAGAAAAAACATAGGCAAAAATCTCATGGAGATAAACATGAGTGACTTCTTCACGAACATATCTCCCCAGGCAAGGGAAACAAAGGCAAAAATGAACAAGTGGGACCATATCAAGCTAAAAAGCTTCTGTACAGCAAAGGAATCCATCAATAGAACAAAAAGGTATCCTACAGTATGGGAGAATATATTCATAAATGACAGATCTGATAAAGGATTGACATCCAAAATATATAAAGAGTTCACACACCTCAACAAACAAAAAGCAAATAATCCAATCAAAAAATGGGCAGAGGAGCTGAATAGACAGTTCTCTAAAGAAGAAATCCAGATGGCCAACAGGCACATGAAAAGATGCTCCACATAGCTAATCATCAGAGAAATGCAAATTAAAACCACAATGAGATATCACCTCACACCAGTAAGGATCGCCATCATCGAAAAGACAGACAACAACAAATGTTGGCGAGGTTGTGGAGAAATGGGAACCCTCCTTCACTGCTGGTGGGAATGTAAATTAGTTCAACCATTGTGGAAAGCAGTATGGAGGTTCCTCAGAATGCTCAAAATAGAAATACTATTTGACCCAGGAATTCCACTTCTAGGAATTTACCCTAAGAATGCAGCACTCCAGTTTGATAAAGACAGATGCACCCCTATGTTTATCGCTGCACTATTTAAAATAGCCAAGATATGAAAGCAACCTAAATGTCCATCAGTAGATGAATGGATAAAGAAGATGTGGTACATATACACAATGGAATATTACTCAGCCATAAGAAAAAAACAGATCCTACCATTCACAACAACATGGATGGAGCTAGAGGGTATTATGCTCAGTGAAATAAGCCAAGCAGAGAAGGACAAGTACCAAATGATTTCACTCATATGTGGAGTATAAGAACAAAGGAAAACTGAAGGAACAAAACAGCAGCAGAATCACAGAACCCAAGAATGGACTAATAGTTACCAAAGGGAAAGGGACTGGGGAGGATGGGTGGGAAGGGAGGGATAAGGGGGGGGGAAAGAAAGAGGGCATTATGATTAGCATGTATAGTGTGTGGGGGACATGGGGAGGGCTGTGCAACACAGAGAAGACAAGTAGTGATTTTACAGCATCTTACTACGCAGATGGATAATGACTGTGAAGGGGTATGTGGGGGGGGACTTGGTGAAGGGGAGAACCTAGTAAACATAATGTTCTTTCTGTAATTGCAGATTAGTGATACCAAAATAAAAAATGATAAAATAAAATTAAAAAATCACACACACAAAAAAAAAAAAACCTTATACCTTGGGGGGCAGGAGGCAGAGCTGTCCTGTTTGCCTTTATATTCTCAGCATCAAGCACTATCTGTCACATGGTATAAACTCTAAATATTTGTTGAGTGAGTGAATGAATAAGTGAATGAAAAACACCCTACCCTGGTAGTCAAGCTTGTTTCTGTCATGGGCAATATTGTTCTTCTAGCCACCCTAGACTAGAAACTGCAGTTTTCTTTAATTGCTACTTTTACTATGTTCTTCTATCTACTCAGTCATCAATACCTTAAAGGGTCTTAAAAGGTTTATTTGGTTTAATCTTATCTCAGGGCAGTGTCAGAACTGTGAGTGGAGGACACGTAGAGGAAAAGGAAAGTAAGACACTTGGCCTCTGATCTTGATCTTACTTGTTTAAACTAGACAGCCTTGGACAAATTACTTTCTTTCCCTAGCCTGGCGTTTTCAGTCTACAGAAGGGAGAGATCAAACTGGGAGGTCCTTAAGGTCCTTTATGGCTCCACCTCTCTTCATTGTGTGCTTTTACCTCCCTAGTGTCCAGCCCTATTATAGAATGCCTTCAAGAGAATATAGCTTGTTCATTTATTAAGTGGATATTTGTATAAATTTCCTTAATATTAAATACATTTTGTTTAAACTGTAAAAGTAATGCATGCCCAAGATTTTTAAAAAATGTTTTGAGGGCACCACGTGAAATACAAGTTTACCTTTCACCCTGGTGCTGCTCCTCAGAGCCTACTTCCCTGTGCTGTGTAGCTCCAGAAATAACAGCAGAGTATTGCAACACTTCTTTACAATTAATTAACATATTTCAACAATTGGAGTAGATAGATACTTACCAATTCAAATTTGATTACCTGGGTAGTGTCTTCTAGAAGGTATAACTTCTAACATTACTTCAAAATAACACTTTGTGTCTTTTTTATGTATGGTAATCTACATCTGGAAGGTGGATGCATTTTACTAGTATATGTAAAGACAGAAAAACATACATTGTTCTCCTTAGAGATGTGAAACATGCTTCATATTCAAACTATTCTACAATTTGCTTTTTTCCATTTAATATCTGCATTTTTCTAGTTCGAGGTACGTGTGTATTTTGTATGAAAAATTCTTGTTAAAGTCTGCACAATATTCCACAGTATGGATATATCATAAAATGCCTAACCATTTTGTAATTCAGGTTATTCCTAGTATTTTATTATTAAAAACAATGCTATAGTGAACATGTAACAGAGTAAATTTTGTGAAAGTAGAAAGCCTAGGCTAGCAAGCATATACATCTTAAATTTTTATAGATACTGCCAAATTTCCTTTCAAAAAGATTGTAACATGTGACATGGCTCATCTACTTTTTAAGGGTGTATTTAATTTAAATTCTTATTTGAACTTATTTCCTGTGCTGTTGCTGGAATAGGATTTAAGATCACATGTAACAGAAAATAACACTTTATTCGTAGGAGAGAGAATGTGGACAGCTAGAAGGGGAAGGGTGGATTCACACAGCACAAATACAGGGGTGGTCTGACATCATTTTGCAAAGAAAGTAAGTGGCAGGCTCTTAGACCAGGCAGATACTCCCCAAAGAAGTCGACTGCAATTACTACAGATCCAGTAGAGGACTTAAAGGTACTCTTTGTAGATGTTGTAAAATCTTCAAAAGGTCAGCTGTCTTTGAAAGACCCATAGTCATTTTGCCTTATTGCCAAGACATAGTGCCATTTGTTTGCTTTGGAGGCCATCATATGGAGAAAAACTAGCATCTCACTATAATTTTATTGTTCTCTATTCATCCAAAATAATGGTTTTAAGGAATTTATTGAGTTGTGAAGTCTTGGGACATATCCCTCATGAATCTTAATGATCTATTTTGTCTGTTATTTAAACTTCAAAAACCAAAACCTCAGGTTCTGAATGTTATACAGATTCTGATGGAACTCTTTCTTATTCCAGTGGACTTTTTTTATGAAAGTGTTTGAGCTGAATTGGGGAAATCAGCCTCACCTGATCTGACTTCCTGTTACACACTCTCTGACCACATTTCTGTGTCCTTTTCACTCAGTTCATGCTGAGCACCTCACTACTCCTTGAGCAAACTAAGCGCTCTCCTACCTCGAGGCCTGTTCCCTGTGCTTCAGATCCTCCTTTCCTAGATACCTGTGCAACTTACTTTCAGCTTCAGTTTTCTCATGTCTCCGAAATTTCAATACCCCAGTTTCTTTCCTGCATTACTTTATCAGCACCTATCACAGATAGGCTGTTTATTTTGTTAACTTAATCTTATTACTTCTCATCTTCTCTAATAGCATGTAAATCCATGAAGACAGGGATTTTTGCCTAGAGCATCTGGCACCTAGTAGGTACTCACGTTTTGAATGAATGAACATATAAATTGGGCAACAGTAAACATACATTAGGATTTAGTGGGGAGAAGTTCAGGGATATTTTGGAGTATGTTTTTTGTTTTTGGTTTTTTTTTTCCAAAAAAGTGTTACCAGTTTTGCTATTTGTCTGGGGTAGAGTATAGAAGGTAAAAGGTTGTGGGGGTTTTTTTGCTTTTAAAAAAAAATAAAGCTGCTTTGTAATTTCAAAAATAAAATCCCATAGGGCACCTTAAAGTTTAGTTACATTCATTTTGATACTTGACTATTAGACATTGCAGGTTGGTAGAAAAAAAACACAATGATGTAGGACTGCGTAAATCTGAGTTCTACCACCTAAGTGTTTGACCTTGTACAAGTCAAAGACTTGCTTTGGATCTACTTTTTCATCTGAACATTGCTGGGTACACTGCATGTCTGAGGTTCTCTTCTTCTGTCCCTTGACATTTTGATTTCAGAAGCTCTCCAAATGTGTTTTGGTGTTATTTTAAAATTATTAATTATCAGTTTTACAGAGTTGTTTATAAAAGAAATGAAAAGCAAATTTTATAATCCAATTACTTAAACTTGTACATCCTTCAACAACTTCCTTTTAATTCTCAAATATAGCCATCAGATACTGTGAAAGATGTCAGCTGATTAAACCTGACCGTGCACATCACTGCTCAGCATGTGACATGTAAGTGTTACTCATTTGCTTTCATTTAACCTCAGCCCTGGAGATTGCTGATAGGAAGTAGAATGGGAATGAACAGTTAATATACTTTATACTTAACATAAACATGTCATTGTATCCCATTACTTGCTGTGAAGCAAGGCTAACAAGAATACTTATGTAAGCTAGAATATACTTTGGAGTAATCTTTGGTTAGTTTCTGTACCAGTTGATAGAATATTTTCTTTGAATATATTCCTTCTGCTTATGCTTACTGTAATCAGATAAAGCAGATAGTAAACCCCTTGAGAAAGATAACTTTATTTTCTGGATTAAAAAGGCCAGAATAACAATTTTCTTATTTTTATTATTAATATTTATATCAAAACCTAACAAACCACAAAAATACCATTTTCAATTACCATCTGTGACATTCTCAAAAAGAAATTGGAAGATTTTATTCCTTGTGCACTTGTGAGAAGCAGTGTGTTGAAGGAAAGATCCCTAGTTTAGGAATCCCAACCAGTCCTTGGCCTTTAGTTAGACAAGCTATATAACATTCTGGTTACTAGTTTACTCATGTTATAGTAGTCCCCTATGTGCAAGGGATACCTGAAACCACAGGTAGTACTGAACCCTGTATTTACTTTTTTTCAATACGTACATACATACCTATGATAAAGTTTAATTTATAAATTAGGCAAATTAAGAGATTAACAACAATAGTAATAAAATAGACCAGTTACAACATATAATGTAAAAGAAGTTATGTGAATGTGGTTTCTGTTTCAAAATAGCTGCTTGTACTGTACTCACCCTTGTGATGATGTGAAATGAAAAATGCTATGTGTTGACATGAAGTGGGCTGAACAGCATAGGCACTGTGACATGTCAGGCTACTAATGACCTTCTGACAGTGTTTCAGAAGGCTCATGGTATGCTTCCAGACAGTGGTTGACCATAGGTAACTGAAAGCACAGAAAGTGAAACCACAGATAAGTCAGGGACTACTGTGTTTAAGATGATTTGTGGTTACATATGGTTACATAAGGTTACATATGCTGACAGAGAGGCGAATTTCTTTTTCTGATTGTAAAAGTATAGTAGTGCATATTCATGGTATAGAACTTTATAAAGTATATGGGAAAAATAACTCTACAAGCCCATCAGTATTAAATTTTTAATGTATTTGCTTCTAAAGTTTTATTTTTATTACTTGCACATGTTTAAAATAACATAGGGATTGTCTGTATTTCATTCTCTCTCCCTCAACAATTTATAAGCTGGATCTATCTAATGTAACAGGAGCGATATGCACTATATCTATATATTAAAATGTCATTTGATGTGGTTCAAGGCAACTGGTATGCTGAGCTGAAGTGCTGGTGTAAAAAATTGTTTTGGAAATACCAGAAATTTTCCCTAACCTAATGTTTACTGGGTAGGTTTTTCTAAGATGCATTTGTAAAGGGAAAAATTAAAGTAAAAAAAAGAAAAGAATCAGAAATCAGAATTAGGAAAATTTTTATACATGGATTTTCTTATGCTTATTTGTTTCTTAGATGTATTCTTAAGATGGATCATCACTGTCCTTGGTATGTATAAAAAAATAAAGGAACTCATACAGGGGAGAGGTGGGAAGGAGAAAATTTGGAGGGATTTACCCCAGCATTCCTAAACCTTGAAGGTCAATTTAATTACTCATAGACCTCAAGATTGATCTGGTTTTATGGATTTGTGTGTGTGTGTGCATGTTTATATTAACTGTTTTCCTTTAAATATATTTTTTGATGTTAACCCCAGAAATCACATATTAAGAAATAACATTAAAATTCCAAATTCCTTACAGAGTTGATTAAAAACATACAACCACAATTAAGACACTGCTCCCTACTTCTCAAAATTTTCCAAGTAAAAATATTTTTGTCTAATTTATTATTGTTGTTTAATATGACTAAAAAAATAACATAAAACTTGTCATCCTAACCATTTCTAAGTGTGCAGATCATTAGTGTTAAGTACATTCACCCTGCTGTGCAGTCTCCAGAACTTTTCAGTTGTGCAGTGCAGAACTGAAACGGTACCCTTTAAACACAACTCCTATGTTCCCTTACCCCACCCCCTACCAAAAGCCATTCAATTTTTTGTTTCCTTGAGTTTGAGATTTGTCTTATTTTTACAGTGTGATTTTCTTTATTCTTCTAGGGTGAATAACTGTGTGGGATTTTCTAACTACAAATTCTTCCTGCTGTTTTTATTGTATTCTCTATTATATTGCCTTTTCGTGGCTGCAACAGTTTTACAGTACTTTATAAAATTTTGGACGGTAAGTTTTTTCCTATCTTCAAACATGTATTTAAGACTTTTTAAGATACTGCATTCATAAAGAATCACTTCATCCTTTATTATAAGTAGATTTTTTTTAGATATTCTAGATTATTTTAATTTATAGTTAGAATTTATAGTCAATCAGAAGGCAGAAAAAAGGTTACAATTTATCTTGATATATATATATGCTTATTTGTAAATAAATGAATAGTAAGTGAATAGTGAGCTGCTTTTAGTGATTCAGATTGTTTTCAGCCACACTCTTAACAATAGACATACCAATTTTAAGGAAGTAATTATATTTATTTGAGTTGGTGAGACTTACTGCAGTTTTACCATAGTAAAAATGAAATCCCTGGCCCCAGATAACCATTAATCTCTTTCTTGCCTCTCTAAATATTAATCCTTTTCTGTCATGAAGTGCAATTTTTTCCCATGCTTTCAATTTATATCTTATAACCCTGTTTTCTTTTGTTTTTATTAAATGGAAACTTGTACTTTTAAAGCACTACTTTTATGATACTTTTATGATTTCTGATTTCTTAAAAATTTACAAGCATTACATTTAATATATGATTTCTGGGTTTAGCTGTTTACTGTAAGTTTATACAAATATTCATCCAGGTTTCTTTCTGGCATTTTTATTGTTTTTGTTTTCACATTTAAATCTTTGATTTTGAAGGGGGATTATTGTGGTCAAAAAGTACTTGGTATTTACTCTTCCTGAAAACCCTATTAAGGTATCTTATAATGTAGGTTTTATTATTATTCAGATATGGTATAGCCAACAAGTCAGAGATGATTAGCATTGAAAAAGTAGTTTGTTACTCACAGTTTGCAGTAGAGGAAGCGCACACCACTATGCTCTGCCACCCAGGGCAGCACCAGGCAAGGTAATCCGTTTTAGGATTAGCTAGTCTGGATGATTTCCATGGTCTCTGGGCATAGAGACTGTCTCTGGTTGTCTGGGACCTGTCTCCAGCATGATCAGGGCAGGGGACTTACCTCCTACAATGTGAGAGCCAACTAGAAGAACAGTTTACAGCATGGATTCTGTTTTAGTTTGTTCATGAGAGGTTTGTTCCTTGCTACCTATTAAGAATAGTTCTCGGAAGGGCGGTCTCTCCCCAGTCAGCAAATCCCCAGATGCCAGAGCATCAAGAATACAGAAAGTAAGAAAATATAGTTAATACAGAAGTTGTTATTCCAATTTTCAGAGTTGGAAACTGAGGTTGGAAAAGTTCAGTAACTACCCAAGGTCACATACTTAAAAGTTATAATTTTAACCTAGGTCTGTCTATTTCAATATCCAGGTACTTTCTAATGTAAGTTACTATTCATAATTGTATGAGTGAAGAATAATAATTAAAACCTTGAGTCATAACCACAATTATTTTTCCAGGAAAGATCTAATATATTTTAGAAAGATTTTCATTAACATCATTAGACTTCTAAAACTTTGGGTATTTAAAACACTGGGGTGTAAGAAACCTTTGTGCATATTGAAAAAGAGCACTCCAGTTGTACATAGACTCAGTCTAATGAATTTTGGCCTCTGTAGTTCTCCTAGTGTGGCACCTTTGTTCTGTTTACAACCTACTTAACCATACTCAGTGGCCCTGTTAAAGCAAACAGGAGTCAGTGCCAAATGAATGAAGTCCATATTAAGGAATTTCACATTGCTTTATCAGAAACTTCAGCAGTGTTTATATGTAATGATTTATTAAAGAATATATTTTTTAAAGTTCTTTGGATTTATCATGAGTACGGAAAGACTGGTAAATTTAAATCTATCTTTTTCTTCATTCATTCATCAAATATTTATTTATACCTGTTACATGCCATGCAGTGTTCTAGGTACTTAGGATATATCAGTGAACACAACAGAGTTCTGTCTTTGTAAAACTTACTTTTGAGAAGAGGGAGACAAATATAATACATTATATATTAGAAAGTAAAACTGAAAAAAATAAAAATAGAGTAGTGTAAGGGATTTGGCAAGTGTGTGTAGGCAGTACATTAATAGTAAGGACTTGAATACACCATTGTAATCAATGGATAGGTCATCCAGACAGAAAATCAGTCAGGAAGCACTGGCCCTAATAACACATTAAAAAACAGATGGACTTAACAGACAATATATAGAACATTTTATCCAAAATCATCAGAATACTCATTCTTCTCAAGGGCATATGGAATATTGTCCAGGATAGATCATATGACAGGCCACAAAACAGGTCTTAATTAACTTAAGAAGGTTGTAACAATATTAAGCATCTTTTCCAACCACAGTGGTATGAAAGTTGAAATCAATTACCGGAAGAAAACTGAAAAATTCACAAATATGTGGAGAGTAGACAACATGCTGCTGAGTAACCAATGGGTCAAAGAAGAAATAAAAAAATATCTTGAGACCAATGAAAATGGAAATATAACATGCAAAAACATATGAGATGTAGCAAAGGCATTTCTAAGAGAAGGAGGTTAATAACAATAAATGCCAACTTTCAGAAATAAGAAACATTTCACATAACTTAACTTTGCACCTCAAGAAGCTAGAAAAAGAAGAAACAAAGCCCAAAGTTAACAGAAGGAAGGAATAACAAAGATAAGAGCAGAAATAAGACCAAAACCAGTAGAGAAGATCTATGAAAGTAAAAGCTTAAAGTTATTTTTGAAAAGATAAAATTGATAAACCTTTACCTAGATCTCACCATGAAAAAAGAGGACTCAAAATCAGAAGTGAAAGAGAAGACATTACAGCTAAAACCACAGGAGTACAAAGGACTACAGACAATCATATGCCAACAAACTGGACAGTCTGGAATAGACAGACATATTCTGAGAAACATGCAATCTTCCCAGACTGAGTCATGAAGAAGCAGAAAATCTTCATAGACTAATAACTGGTAAGGAGATTGAATCATTAATTTAAAAAAAACAACCTCACAACAAACAAAAGTTTTGGACACATAGCTTCACTGATGAATTCTACCAAACATTTAAGATCCTAATGCCAGTACTCAAACTCTTCAAAAAAAAAAGAAGGGGGAAACACTTCCAAACTCATTTTATGAGTTTACCAGACAAGGGTGCCACAAGAAAAAAAAACTACAGGTCAGTATACACGATGAACATAGATGTAAAATCCTCAACAAATATTAGCAAACTGAATTGAGCAATACATTAAAAGGATCATATACTATCATCAAGTGGAATTTATTCTAGGGATGTAAGGATGGTTCAGCATCTGCATATCAGTCACTGTGATACACCACATCAACAAAATGAAGGATAAAAATAACATGACCATCTCAGTAGATACAGAAAAGGCATTTGACAAGATTCAATGTTCATTTACAAAAAAAACTCTCAACAAAGTGGGTATAAAGGGAACAGACCTCAACATACACTGGCCATATATGACATGCTATCATCAGAACAGTGAAAAGCGTAAAACTTTTATTCTAAGATCAGGAACAATACAAAGTTGCCCACTCTTGCCACTTTTATTCAAAGCAATATATACTAGAAGTCCTAGCCAGAGAAATTCTTCAAGAAATATAAAGGATCCAGATTGGAAAGGAGGAATTTACAGATGACATGATTCGATACATAGAAAACACTAAAGACTCCACCAAAAACTGTTAAAAATGAATGTGGACTGAAGGAATAAAAGAGCAGCAGACTCACAGACCCCAAGACAGGACTAGCAGTTACTAAAGGGGAGGGGTGGGGGAGGGCAGGTGGGGAGGGAGGGAGAAGGGGAGTGTGGGGTATCAAGATTGGTGCACATGGTGTGTGTGGGGTCATGGGGAAGACAGTGTAGCTCAGAGAAGACAAATAGGAACCCTGTGGCATCTTACTACACTGATGAACAGTAACTGCAATGAGGCATGGGTGGTACTCAATAAATAAGGGATAATAAGGGTGAATGTAATAACCACATTGTTTTTCCTGTGAAACCTTCATAAGAGTTTATATCAATGATACCTTAAAAAAAATAAATTTGGTAGAATTGCAGGATACAAAATCAATATACAGAATTCAGCTTCATTTCTATACACTAATAACAAACTATCAGAGAAATGAAGACAACAATCACATCAAAAAGATTAAACCATGTAGGAGTAAATTTAACTAAGGAGGCGAAAGACCTGGACACTGAAAACTACAAGACATTGATGAAAGAAAATGAAGGCACAAATGGAAAAATCATCTGTGCACATGGATTGGAATATTTAGTAGTATTAAGACCCAAAGTACCAAAAGCCATCTACAGATTCAGTGCAATTCCTATCAAAGTTCCAATGGCATTTTTCACAAAAATAGGACATTCTTAAAATTTGTATGAAACACAGATGACTCCAAAATGACAAAGCAATTTTGAGAAAGAAGAACAAAGCTGGAGGCATCATGCTTTCTGATTTCAAACTACTACAAAGCTGTGTGACCAAAACAGTATGGTATTGGCATAAAAACACACACAGATCAATGGATCAACATAGAGAGCCCAGAAATAAACCCATGAGTCCTTGGTCAATTAATGTAGAAGAAAGGAGGTAAGAATATTCAATAGATAAAGGACAGTCTCTTCAACAAATGGTGTTGGGAAAATTGGACAGCTACACGGAAAAGAATGAAACTGAATCCCCATCTTACACCATATACAAAATTCAACTCCAAATGGATTAAAGACTTGAACATAACACCTGAAACAATATATCTCCTAGAAGAAAAAACAGTCACATCAGTCTGGTGATATTTTAGATTTGACATCAAAAGCAAAAGCAACAAAAGTAAAAATAAACAAGTGGGACTACATCAAACCAAGAAGCTTCTGCACAGCAAAGGAAACCATCAACAAAATGAAAAAGCAACTTACTAAGTGGGAAAAATATTTGCAAATCATGTGTGTGATAAGAGGTTAATACCCAAAATATATAAATAAGTGCAACTCAGTAGCAAAAAAAAAGTCCAATTAAAAAATGGGCAGAGAGTCTAAATAGACATTTTTCCAAAGAAGACATACAGATGGCCAACATGTATGTGCAAAAATGCTTAACATCACTAAGTCATCAAGGAAATGCAAATCAAAACCACAATGGGGTATCACCTGACTCCT